ATTAATTTTCTATATGAAAAATAAATCAGAAAAGAAAATACATAATCATTCCACCTTGCTTTCGTGGTATAAAAGTGAATAAGATGAGAAAAAAATTTATTGCCGTAATTATGGCTTAAAAGGCCAATAAAATGTCGAAAAACATTTGCACATTTAGCGATGTGTAAGTATTAAAGGCATGGCTTTTAGGGGAGTGAGAAAAAATTAATTTTAAACATTAACAAATTATTGAATTATGTTATTTCAAATTTTCATCAAAACAACTCTAAATTCCATAATTTAATGTCAATCTGATAATAAAAACATCAACTAGCAAGCATTAAGGTCAAAATGACTATGTTTGCAACAGCACAACATAAAACGTGCTTGTTAAAATAATAAAAATAACCTTTATATTTATACTTATTAATTACAAATGGGCTGAGATTTAAGTAAAATAATTAAAGATTTCTTAATTTTTATGATTATCATTTATTTTATTTATCATTTCACCATACGTATGACTCTTGCAGTGATACAATTTAAGGTGTATACAATTTTATTTTTCGCTTCTGTACATTTGTGGTATGAATATTTATCAGCAATGAAGAGCGAAAGGAAATCTGTAATCAGAGGCATAAAAATTATAAATTGACATAAATTTTTCTTACGCCTTTAAAGAGCTTTAATTAGCCACGTGATATGAATAATCAACATTCATTTGTAAGCCTTAAACATGTTATTTTTTGCTGTTATTTCATTTAAGTTAAAACGTGTTGATAAATAATTTGATTGAAACGTACATCAAATAATTTTATTATTTTAACTATAGTAGTTCAATTACAAATAATGTTGAGTTGTTTAACTATGATTAAGATTGTTAAAATCATAGATTGTGTAAAAGATGGGAGATTCTGAGAACCACTGCACAACTTTGAAACATAAAAGCTTTTAAAATGCATGTTAGATTTATAGTAAGAGATTATCAAGTTCAAAATTGAGAGTCTTTCTATCTTATTAAAATAAAGATCTATTTTTTTATAGCTTAATTTATATTGGTTGTTAAAAGGCGTGGACACTGGGATTAATCCCAATAATGCTCAATAATCACAATAATCCCAATACATACTACTTACTTCCTTGACTGGGGCGCACGTGGGCCCATTGCCGCGCTTAGAGATCGTCTGAAGACAGCTCTATCCTTAGACACCTTCTGCCAGTTCGGAATATTAAGGACTCTAGCGTCCTTTTCAACACCTCCAATCCACGAGATCTTCGGTCTTCCTCGTGATCTCTTGCCATCCATAAAGTCTGCTACTGTCACTTTTAGTACTGGGGCATCTTGTGAGCGTCTAAACACATGTCCAGCCCATCTCAAGCGATTTACACGGAGAACTTTAGCAATATCAGCTTCCTGAAATAAATGATATAACTCATCATTATGTCGACTTCGATACTCTTCTCCTTCCTTCACAGGACCATAAATCGCTCGCAGTATTCGTCTTTCGAAGACACCAAGTGCTTCCTCATCCGCTTGTGTTGAATTCCAGGTTTCCGAGCCATATAAGGCAATAACTCGGATAATCGTTTTATATAACGTGACCTTAGTTCCTCTCGACAGAAGGTGTTTTAAGCTGTAGAAAGCTCCATATGCCGAGTGGATCCGCTTACGTACTTCAATAATCCCATTAATCCCTAATAATCCCAATAATCCTGAATAATCCCAGCATATTTTTGAGTGTCCACGCCTTGGTGGTTAATAATACACACATGCAAAATGCCTAGAAGATACTTCTTCAGATACTACATTGTTGCTCATAAATTTACAAACTTTATTTTGCAGTAAGAATATTAAATTCGTTCCGGATCATATCGTACAGAATTTATTCATTACACTTTCTTCACTTCAACTTCTGAAATTATGATTGTAAAAATGTAAAGAACCTGTCAGATAGAATTATTTCAAGTAAAGAAGAAACTTTTTAATGAGTATGGCGCATTTTGTTTTAAGTCTATTTTTTAACAGGATTTTGAAAAATGTTTGTAAGATGGCGTTGTAATTTTAAATTTTTTTTGTGTTTATATGCCATTTATATTGTGGGATTCGAGCTATTCCTTAGAGGGTGGTATCTTTAATCTTTATTTAAATATGAATTTTATAAAAATGAAGACAGCAAATACTGCATATATCAGGAAAAAAAAAGAACTAAATGTCCACATTTTGTACTCATGAGAAAACTTATCATATGATCTTCATAGGTAAATTATTGCATTGTAAATATAGATATAAATCATTGTTGTTGATGATATGAGAATAAAAATCATAAATTTAATTTGTTTCAAGAAACATGATAATAAATTGAAAATAATTAATGAATGTAAATTGATACCATTGAATGAGCAAACTAAAGCAAAACAACATGAGTAAATGTACAAACATATGATAGAAAAGCAAGCAAACCAACCATAATAAACCATTTCTCGGTTTACCGATGATTTCTTAAGAAATCCAAATGAAATTTTAATTGCTTTTCCTTTGAAATTTTAAACAACAAAACGGCATTCGAGCAATTAAATAAGCTTGATACTTATATGTAGGAAGTGAGTGAATTAATTTATAAGCAAAATAAAAAGATTTATAGAAGATCGTTGGAAATGTAGATCTCAGCTGGAAAAGTGAAATTTTAATTAATTGTTCTCATATTATTTCACTTAGCACATTTCTTTTTCTCTAATGACCTCCCAGTGGTTAACGATTGTAGAAAAATGATCTAGTTATTTTATTTATTATCCAAATAAATGTATGAGTTACATTTTTTATGTTGTTTTGTTAATTTTCAGTAGGTTTTGATTCTTAGGCAAATCTTTGATACATATCTTAGCAAAATAGAATCTTAAGCATTATTATTGATCCGTAGATTGTTTAAGTTTCTGACAATGATCCATAAAAATAAGAAGAATAAGATGTGAAAGAGATTAATGGACTCAGGTAACTGTTACAAAAACTGAGGTATCAACGTGATAAGCAATAAAACGCCAAATCACTAATTTAAAATCAATCGATGGACAAAGACAAACTAAGTGGTTGTACAAAAAATCTGGAAAAATCATCGAAAACATTTTGAAGTAAATATCCAATTAATGATGTTTAAAGCATTACATGATTGAAAGTGAGCAATTAGATTTGAACAATTTTAAATAACATATCATGCTTAATTTAATTTGCTTCAGAAACTAATTTTTCAATTCTTGATGATACTTTTAGACATATTGCGTTAAAAATTTTTTTACAGAAAAATCTAAAGCTGGTAGCAAATCATTAATCGTTTCTCAAAATTATAATAACATTGTAAGCAATAAGAAAAAAATATGTAGTTTCGCAGTTTGATTGAGTAATTGAGTTTGATTCGATTGATTGCTAGCAAAATAGAAAAAAAATTTATATTCCTTCATCATTTTTTTTTTCAATCTTATTCTGTCTATCGAATCTCCTCAAACATACATCACTTATTGATCGTTATTTATGAAATAATTTAAAATGTAGACTTTTAAGCCCAAAGAATTATTTTTAAGTGCGAAAAACTAATTGGTAGTTGAATTAATAAGTTTATTTAATTTAATTAAATTTAAGTAACAGTTAATGCTGAAATGAAAATATTTGAAAATAATTCAAAGTGAAAAAAGTAACAAGAATTTCTATAATCTCATTCACTAGCTTTTTGTTGTGTTCGTGTTGGTGCTGGTGGTATTTTTTCATGCATGACGAAGAGCAACGTTTCCGCTTCAGAAACACACGGGTTCAAGGTTTCATTTTTTTTTCACTTCTACTCTCCTCATTTTCACTTGCTTGCCAGTCATTTTTCGAACATAACAAAAAATAATAAATTCGCATTTTGATGTCGATTTTAGAGTTTTATTTTGCAAATACCAGTATAAATTAATTAAAGAACACAAAAAATATATTTGGTAGAGGACATCAAGTTTAAGTTGAGCAAGTATGTGAGTGATAGATTCAATGAAGTCATATAAATTAATCATTAAATGTCACGCCAAATATACCTTCATAAATGTCAAGTTTGATGATGAAATTCCAACATTATATACAGTACATTTCCTTATTAAAAAGCAGACGTTTACAATCGCAGTAGCAATAGAGCGCCCCCCATAGGCACTACATCTCTCACATATGAAATTATTTATTTCTACCATGAAAATTTCTTAAAACGGAAAATGAATCTTCATTCCATCTGTATATTTATGGTAAAATCCAATTATGACAATAACAGCACATAGAAAAGCAGTGCATGCAATGTAATGGTTTTTAAAAATCATTTTCATTTCTTCAATATTCTAAATTTATTTCATGCGTCATAATTACATAATGCATGGTAAATAGCAGCAACTATTGCCCCAACAACATGATTTGTAATATTACGCTTAACACACGTACGTTTGCTACTGGCTACGAATAGATTGAAATAATCTGATCGAATTTAGTGCTGAATTATTGCTTTCAGGTAAGCATAGGAATACAGGTAATTGCCTAAGAAGAAAATAATAAAATTGCAGCCAAAGACAATTTAAATCCATATTCAACACCATTTACTTACTTTTATAAGTAGCATAGAAAAAATTCATTTTTTGAAATTATCATAAAATTATTTTCATCATCAACAGTAGCAGTACAATGATGCCTATTCTAATTTCCGATATGAAGCAATATGATGTGAGTGGCATCGTATTATGAGATCACATTATTAACTCCTTTACGCTGTCGAGGTGTTTTCAATAGTTTTGAGTTGTAGTAAAACCTTTGCCATTCTTTAAAGGATTGTCCACTGTCTTTTAAGTTTTTGACTATGATAAAAATATTCATGCTAAGTTATAATCATTACTTTAAACTGAAAATTAAATTCAAAAGTAAAATTATCTACTGTAGAAAGTTATAAAGTGATTAAGAATTTAGTCACAAAGTTATCAATCCTATTATTAAATTGAAAACATGCACTTTATGATGCGTTTTCTTACTCATGTCTTTACACTCTAAAAGCTTTAGTGTAATTCCACATAAATGCACACATAATAAAGTAGAACGATGTAAAAAACAAGGCGATGTGATGGCACTTTATTGAAAAAAATCATTGCATGCACAACATTGAACGTACTTATATCGATTACAATTTTTATATAATTTACCATACTTGACGAATATTAATTGACTGAGCTGGAGCTGTTGACACAATGACCATATATGCCACATACTTACCAATATGATTGGATGAAAAAAGAAAAAGAAGAGAAAAAAAAATATTGTCAAAGCAGAACGAGCTTGAGATTGTAATCATAACATAAAATTTATTGTTGTTAAAAAGGGTTAATTGATTACTTTTCGATACAGTGATTTATTATATTGAATCAGATTTTTATCTGATCGCAGTTCGCATTAATTTGGTTTTTGTTCAATTATTTTTTTAACAACTCGAAAATTGTAATTTCTTGCAAAAATGGAAAATAGTGAAAATGAAATGGAAGACTTAATGAAAAGGATGGAATCACATGGTGGAACAGTACAAGGTGGAATGCTTGTTAAAGGTACATTATATGCAAAAGGAGATGAAATTATCAGAACATCATTTGACGACATTACAAGTTCAAGTATGGCAAAATATTTGGATTTTTTAAAAGATGCATGCGAAAATTTTGTACGTGAAAGAAAGTCATCAGATAAGCTAGACTTCATTCGAATTGATTATAAGAAACGTCAAGTCAGAGACTCTCGATATCAAATTATGATGGCTGTTGAAGATGATTTTAAAGCGGTTATCCTGCAAGAATATAAAGTTCGCGATCTTCGTAAAAGATCATCTCGTGAAGAGAAAGAAACAGATGAAGCAGCATATAAATACACACAGAAGAATTACTTCTTTCCATCACTCGACAAATGATCATAAAATTGACTACAATCACACTTATGTGTATATGGATGCGCAGAGGTGCAAAAATAATTTATTATCATTTTCATTTCATTTCATGTTCAATTTGTAAAATAATAATATAAAAAAATGAGATGTGAGATGAAGAAAGAATTCAAAATTGGCAACGTGTAACTCAACAAAGAAACAAAATAAAATGAAATTGCATTCATTGAGCATAATTTTCATTTATTTTACTGCAATAATATGTTCATGCAAGAAAAAGAGGTAAGTTTTTGATTTATGGTCGCATCACAAAGAATTAAATTCACCGCAACACATCTTTTTCCTTGACTTTTTTTCATATTATTTTCTCAAGTAAATTTTTGTTTCTTGTAGATGGCTTCTGTAACTGGTCAGGGTTGTCATGTGGTTAAATGATGCATTTGTAAATTCTTAAACTGTCAACTGAACTAAGATTCATAATATTTTCTTATCTAGTCAATATAACATTTGACCACATGTTCTCGATATAGTACCAGATTCAACCCTGTTTTAGTTTTACAGCTAATGACAAAATTTTCATGAAAAAAATGTATTAAAGAATTATGTTGATGTAATTAAGAAAGGAAATTAATTTAAATCATAAACGTGCATTGCCACTAAGAATAAAAGAATTTAAATCGTGGGAATATCTTATAAACAATGTAAGTTCCATGAGTAGTGATATTTTAAAATTTCATAAAATTGATAAAAGAATTTTCTCCCAACCTTCGAAGAACAAGGTTGTGGAATTGTCAATTCTCCAAATTTAATTATTTGCGCGTAGGAACCAAACAAAAATAAGTCAAAGCATACAAAAAGAACAAAAGAACAAAAAGACTACGGAAAAACTCATAAAAGTCGCGATTTAATTAATATTTGGAGACAAATTAAATTTGAGCAAATGAGTGCAAACTTTTGTACATAACCTAGACAAAACTGGAACTTGATATCATGGGAATACCACAGAAAAAAATTAAACTTAAAACTTAGTTGTGAGAAGATTATGTCTCGCGATGGGTTTTGTGTGTTTTTCCAATAATCGCGGACAAGTTTTTACAAACCAATTGATGCTGACTGGATTTTCAACAAAACTTAACATTGACAAATCGAAATTGATCATCTCAGAATACAACAGAACAAGTGATTTGCATGAAGAATTGTTGAAGGATCTAGATCGTTGACAATTGGAAGTGGATATTTTGCCTTGCGACGGTTTTTTGCTGTGTCCAATCGCAGGCATGATTTTCTGTCAACCGGTTGAAGTTGACTCTATCTCAATAGTCTTTTTATGTTCATTTACAAATGTGGAATTGTTGACGATCTTTTAATAGCAATATGCTTATGGATCTTAATAAAGTTAATTAAGAAAGAAAGAAATTGATAAAAAGAATGAACGATGGGTTACCAAGTTTATCGTCCTACAGTGCGTATGATTCGTTTAGCCGCACACAGCTTTTTGCTTTTTTCTTTGTAATATGCAACTTATAAAAAATCAATTATACTGTCAAATATTCTTCATTTATTACGTAATCAAGTAAGCTATAAATAATATTTTTTAAAAAAAGTAGAAAAGAAAAAAATGAAAAAAAAAACGAAAATTTGGATTTTGAAAGCATGATTTGTTTAGCCGCACTAAAGAAAAAAGTATTTTCAGTGGATATTGTAAACAAATAAAGTTAATTTTTAAGTAATTTTAATTAAATAGATTTTTATCTATAAAGTAACGCTATTAATTCATTAGATTACTGATTAAAAAACAAAAATTTAATCATGCCAAAAGGAAAATCCTTAAATGAGACTGAAAAGGCTGTAATTGATCAATTAAAATCGATTGAGCTGTCCAATCGGGATATTGCAAAGGGAATTAATAGAGACGAAAAAGTAGTAAGAAATTCCTAGCAAAAGGCAAAGATTATGGCAAGAAGAAGAAGACAAAGGGCAATACAAAAATTAAAAATCGTGACAAAAATCGTGCAATTCAACTTGCTTCTACGGAAAACTACTTTTCCAATGATATCATACGTGAATTAGATCTGCCTATTAAGAAAGCTCAAGTTCGTAAAATATTGCGATACTCTGGCCGCTTTAAATATGTCAAAAAGATGAAAAAACCTATGTGGAATCCTGAGCATATTGTAGAACGATTTAATTGGGCAAAAAGATACGTTCATTGGACTAGGGTGAAAATTCTTCATTATTATAACGGTCATTTTTCATACATTTTTCATTCGAATTATTCGACTATTTCGACAGTCAGTTAGCTTTACCCTTTTTCTTTCACTTTTTATCAATCTAGCCAAGCGATATCACGCATTTATCGCGCCACGAAAAAGTGAGGATTAATCTTATCATATTCATTTCTTTTTGATTCATTGATATCCATTTGTTATAGCTATCTGATCCGATCATACAGGATATTTGTATTCACATTAGGTTTATAAAGCATAAGTAAATAAACATAGAATTTGTGAAATATATTTATTGTTTCGGGATTTAGATACATCGTGGCTAGCTGGTGAAAAGACATCATCAGATAGTTTTTCTCTTAAATCATTAATCAAAGCAAAGAGAAGAACGAATTTAACCTCGTAGTCCTGCGGAAATTCAGCGTGAAAAATTTTGACTCGCAAACGAATCATGTCAAAGTTTTTGCTCAAAAACGTCGAGAGAGCACACCACGAACGGTGCCAGGATGAATGCACTGAAAGAGACGGTGTCATGCTTAAATGCATGAATCTTGAAGCTGCAGGAAATAAGCCTTGTGCAAATATTATCCATGCTAAGTGTGCAGGTTATGACCTTGGCGTCTTACCTCACTTTACTGGATATTACTGTACAGATTGTACGACAGGAAGCTCTGAATTACATCAGAAAATGTCAGAGATAGAGGAACAGGCGAAAATATCAGCAGAAAAAGCAGCAGCATCAAAATCTTCCGATACGATCAAGAAGGAAGAACATGAGGCTCTTAAAACAATGGCTGAGAAATTAGCAAATCAGTTAGAAGATAAAGTGGAGAAGATTAAACAGCAAGCAGCTGAAATGGAAGCACAAAAGTTAGTGGCTAAAAGGCAGGAAGAAGAATTAAAGTTTCTGCAAGAGGCAGTGAGCAAAATGACAAGCGAAAGATCCAGTTCTGGATCTCAACAAAACTTTAATTCGACATTTTTGGAACGACTTAATGAGACTCTTCGCTTGGCCGAAGGTTTCGACGAGTCAACTACAGTCAACTACAAATCACACACGCCCGATTCCTGCAAACATTCAAGGACGTGCTCCAAACAATAGCAGCATTAATAATTCCACTTTCAACGTCGCGAATACAAGCACTGGATGGCCCAACTACGACGAACAACAGAGAATAGCTGATCATCACGACGATCATCGCCTAATGCTCTTACGAGCAAGCCTTGCTAAGCCAGTTCCGTTTGATGGTGACGTCACTAAATGGGCAACCTTTTTATCGGAATTTATTCGTACCAGTGTGAGAGGAAGTTTTAGAGACTTCGAAGATATGGATCGACTACGTGAACTTGTGACTGGAGAAGCGAGAGATATGTTTGTAACGGAGCTTTCAGATCCTTGCGCTGAAGCTTTAAGTACACTCAAATGCCTTGATGATTTTTTTGGTGTTCGTGGAAATGCCGTAAGAGTAGCAATGGATAGGATTACACAACTTCCACGAGTCGACAAGTCCACTGATAAGCAAAAGCTAACTGGACTATATACGCAAGCCAAACAATTTGCTCTCCAGTGCCGTATCCACAACCAGCAGCATGAATTAGCTTCACAAGCCATTTTATTTATAATCGAAAGTAAAATGTTCAGCGACCATGTAAAACTGTGGAGACAGTGGGTTAAAACCTGCAATAAGTATGAAGATGTCGATGGAGTGATTGCGTTTTTGGAAGATCAAATCCGTGACTTAAGTTTCAAAAACAACAGAACGAAAACCGGCATTACCGCAAATGTTAATACAACAGACGTCACGGGGGGACTCCAAGACGGGGGGACGCAGTCCTCATCATCAAAAGCTTAGTTCCGACGATCCCTTTAAATCACCCTCTGATTACGAAAAGAAGAGAAGACCTGATTTGCGCGAACTAATCGAGAAGAGAAAAGAGCTTAGCAGCATTCGAAATCGTATTATAAGACCACGACGTGACCGTTAAATTTCATATGAGTATGAGTTCCTCCGGAACTGCAGGGGGGACGATGAAAATTCTTCATTATTATAACGGTCATTTTTCATACATTTTTCATTCGAATTATTCGACTATTTCGACAGTCAGTTAGCTTTACCCTTTTTCTTTCACTTTTTATCAATCTAGCCAAGCGATATCACGCATTTATCGCGCCACGAAAAAGTGAGGATTAATCTTATCATATTCATTTCTTTTTGATTCATTGATATCCATTTGTTATAGCTATCTGATCCGATCATACAGGATATTTGTATTCACATTAGGTTTATAAAGCATAAGTAAATAAACATAGAATTTGTGAAATATATTTATTGTTTCGGGATTTAGATACATCGTGGCTAGCTGGTGAAAAGACACTAGGGAGTGGACAAACGTGGTCTTTTCAGCTGAGAAAAAATTTAATCTTGATGGACCTGATAGATTTCATTACTACTGGCACGATTTAAGAAACGAAAAGCAATTCAACTACTCTAGTACTTTTGGTGGTGGCTCTTTAGTGGTTTGGGCAGCATTCTCAATGCATGGTAAGACCCCGATTGCAAAAGTTACTACTCGGATAAACTCAGACAACTAAATTCAGCTCATGGATAATGTTTTGATTCCATTTACGGACGATTTTATGAATGGTGACTTCAATTCAAGAATACTTGCCCGTCGAGTATATAGTCGAGGTCGTAAATTTTGATCCATTCAAGAGCTTGAAGTTGAAGTCCGTAATTACTTTCGAAATTTATCAACACAGATATTAGAAACTTTAGTCAATTCCATGCAAAATCGTCTAATTGAACCTATACGTAAGAATGGACACGAAACAACATACTAATTCATGGTTTTTGGGCAAATAAAATATTTTTTTCCTTAGTGCGGCTAAACGAATCATAATTTCAAAATCCATAATTTCAAAATCGCAAACTGTGTGCGGCTAAACGAATCATACGCACTGTTTATGCATAAATATGCATAAATAGTGTAAATTTGAGGAACTGTTTAACCAAACTTTATATAGTTGATAAATATTGAGGTGCTGAACACTAATGCTGAACAGATGACAAATAATTTGTTCTATTAAACTTTGACGTCGATATTTTTTCTACAATCTACTGATTTGTTTTCGAAATTTAAATTTTAAAGTTTATAATAAAATTAATAAAACTTTGGCTGCAGGATGCCAATTAACAATGAGATCCTGAATGAGTTGCTATAGTAAGATTAACAAAAGACTTTTTCCGAATTTAGCTTATACTAAGAGATCAACATAGTTTTTATACAAATGGCACTAATATATTGTTTAGAAGATTAGTTTTGTAAACGACGTTCAGTATTCAATT